ACATAGTCTCCGTCTTTATTCCGGACGGCGTGTGTCTTAACACCCGCCACATCACTGCCAGCGCCCGGTTCTGTCGTACAATAGGCCGCACACAACACCTCCGAACCGGTCATTCGTCCCAAATATTCCCTTTTCTGGCCCTCATTTCCAAACAGAATGACCGGCGCCTGTGGCAGACCACTGGACGAAATGGCTAAGGCGATCCCACTGCACCCATAGCTCAATGCCTCACCTGTCAGTGTATATAATATAATGGTCATATAAATACAATACATTGTTGCAAATATAGTATGTTACGTATATCAACATGCTAAGTGATTAGATTCTTACAGATTAGATATGGTTCGATATAAAGAATCTAAGTACAACTCTATAATAATTAAAGTTATACTTTGCATAAAAAATGATTTTGTAACCACATTACAGTAGTAATTTGATTGTCAAAATCTATGTCAATTTGTAAAACAAAAACGTGATTTTTCAATCATTCATTTATAAATCTGTAGTGGGAATATGAAATAAACACATTGGGATATTCATTATAATCTCTTATACTACGTGCTATAGTCATAAAGTTTTAAAATGTTAAACATACTGTATTATTTTGAACATGAAATCATATATTTGTATGGATATAATACTGTGAAATAAGTTTGTTTTAGAAATAAATTCAATCAAAATGTGTTCATTAGTGCCAAGAGTTTTACAATTAAATTTATTACGAAATCCAAAGTGTTTGACATATAATGTATTGAAACGTTTGAATAGCAGTCAAACGACGAGTGGTTTTAACTTTGAGTTGACTTCAGAGCAGAAATCATTGCAAGAATTGGCCCAAAAGTTCGCCAAAGAGGAGATCATCCCTCGGGCCGCACATTACGACCAAACGGGTGACTTTCCCTGGGATCTCGTCAAACAGGCCCAGGAGGTGGGCCTTCGAAATTTGGGGGTCCCTTCACAGTACGGGGGCGCAGGACTGCCACTGTTTGATACCTGTCTTATAAGTGAGTATATTGTGATAAATTGGTTGTAAATTTGGATAATAGTAGTAATGATTGGAATTGAGGTGAGAGTCTGAACTATGGGTGCACTGGGATTCAGTCGGCCATCAACTCGACGGGTTTGGCTCAGGCGCCGGTCATACTGTTTGGTAATGAAGACCAGAAAAGACAATATTTGGGACGAATGACGGGTTCGGAAGCCTTATGTGCGGCCTATTGTACGACAGAACCGGGCGCTGGCAGTGATGTCGCATCCATTACATCAAAGGCCGTCCAGAATAAAGACGGAGATTATGTTCTCAATGGCCAGAAGATGTGGATCACTAACGGAGGGGTCGCCAACTGGTACTTCGTGTTGGCGCGCACTAATCCGGACCCAAAAGCACCCCCGAGTAAGGCTTTCACGGGTTTGATCGTTGAGGCGAACAGTGCGGGTGTAGTGCCCGGACGTAAGGAAGACATGTTGGGTCAGAGGGCGTCCGACACGAGAGGAGTGAGCTTTGAGAATGTGGTCGTCCCTAAGGGTAATGTTTTGGGCGAA